GGCTTTCTTGGAATCGTTGATCGGCAATGTCTTTCACATAGGTTTCAATGTCAGATGCTGTTAAAGGTGACGATTGATGCTGCCTGATATAGACGACATCTCTTCCACCAATTGTTGCAGATGTAACAATGTGAGTACCATAGCTCTCAATGAAACTGGAAAATAAAATAGAGAATCAGACCCAGATGTCACTCAAGATTACTCCCGTTATCATGCTATAATGCTTTCAATCTAATCTCATATTGGTAATGTCTGAATGTTATGATAATGTCAGTACCTTGCCAAGGATGCAGGATCCCATGAATAAGGAACAGCTTTCTTGACCTCCTCTTGCAAAATCAAATTCGCCTTTGCTAGTTGGACTTTATAAAGGGGAATGAAATGGCCAACCATTGCAAGCGATTTTGTTGCCGCAGCATCCACTTGCCACGAACCAGTGAAATTAAACATGGCATTAAAGCTTCCCAGTGGTATGCGTCCTGATACACCGGATTGCTCATTGAACTGCTCTGCCATCTGAAAAGTTATCAAGCAAATGGAACCCATTTACACACACCACACCATAAGACAAAAAGATATCTGCTTTAACTAAAAATTAAGGGTCGACATCCACACCAACATAGGATTCCAGAACTAAGGAAAATTAAAGCTGCTGTGTGATCCTGACAAGATTAAAAGTTTCTACGCGGGCAGTTAGAGACTTGGACTTATCTTCAACATCCAAGAAACAGCAATGCTAAACCTAGTCAATTCACTTCCACAGCAAAGTGCAAATTCATTGGTCAAAATAAGCAGCTGTCCACTTAACCATATGCCCCGCCCGGAAATTGCAATCAACAAGTTATCTACAATTCTAATGCATTCAAATTCTTGATACCATCATAAGATGAGGAAGCAAGAGTAATTATCAACAAGGAGAAAGCAAATTACTTGAGTTCCAAAGTAACTCAATTTCCCAAATCTGAACAATCCACAAGGAAACAAAAGACAATTTTCAAGCAATCAAACAAATCTCTGCCAATCCATCTAGATACTATATATAAACACAAAAACGGAACTGGGGGGAAGAAAGGAAGTGAGGGGAAAATGAATGACCTCATGGAAGCTGCAAACAGGAATCCTCTCAATGCTTCTCGCCCCCATGGAGCATTCAATATCAACAGAAGCATTAGGCAGCACAACCCCATGGCCGGCGGCCACAAGATCCCTGGTGCGATGCTCATCGATTTGAATAAGCCTTGACCCAGGAGCACCTTTGCAGTAGAGCAGCCTTATGTCAGATGTGACATCGAACCCCCTACCCAGAGCTTGGATTGAGTTCTGCAGGGTAGTTTTCAGAGCATCGGAGTTTTTCAAGCTCATCTTCTTCTCCTTCCTTCTTTTCTTCTCTTCTCTTCCTCGTTTCTATCTCCTTCTTCCCACCTTCTCCTTCTTCTTCCCTTCTCTAGTTTTCATAAAAATAAGCAGAAAGAAAAGAGAGAAAAAACAAGCTTTGGGCTTTAGGCTGTTGGATTGGTCTGGGTTTTGGATTCTTGCGTAGGGTGTGTTGATTAATTTATGAAAGTTCCCACCTTTTCTTTTTCCCTTTATTTTCCGGATTTTGACTTTGTACAAGCTTCTTGTTTGAGATTGAGAGGGAGAGATTACTGTAGGTAAAGAGTATGGGAAGTTTTTAGGAGGTTGAAAGGGGAAGTGGGGCAACTTGGGATTTGGGAGTTGGTGGTGGAGCCATCATTCATCTATGCTTCCTTTCTTCTGCCCTTCCTTCCTGCCCTGGTGCTGCTAGCCGCGATTGTTCTTTATACTTCCTTCCCTTCATTCGTATTTGTAATCCTTGTTAGGTTTGACTGCAATAATGCCATTTCTTAAGCCAACAAAGAACGCGTCTTTTTCCTCTCATCCATGTAGTGTGTAATGGGGAAGATTCTGAGTTGACTGGTCTCCTTCTTAACATGAGGCATGAAATAATCTCTTTTTCCTTCTTCTTTGCACTTTTTTGAAAGTTAACGAGATATTTACGAGAACATTGAAAATTAGATTTCCCTTTTTGACATTCTATTCTTGCGGCTTTCTCTTTGGTAGAGCTGTCAAAATTGAACCCGACCCGATTAACCCGCTCAACTCATCCGACTCACAACCCGTCTGTAACTCGATTTGACAAAAAGTCAACCACCCGAAGCCTGCCTGTAACCCGAAACCAATTGACCCGTAATTCGATCAACCCATAACTAGATGAACTCGTTATTCGATCCAACCCATAACCCAACTTATCTATAACCCGAATGATTCATAACCTAAATAACCCGTAACCGAACCCAACCCAACTCGAATAACTCATTTGACCCGAATGCTTGTACAAAAATTCAATGTATACATTATTATATTTTTAAATTTACCAAGAAAGAACTGTTGTTCTCATAATAATTGAAAATTATTTGTAGAATTGATGGTATAAATTGAGGTTTTTTCTTAAATATTTAATTTTTAAAATAATAATATGTGAAATATATTTTCATTCATTTTTTATTTTATAAAATTCAAATGATAAATTTTTGAAGATAATAGGAAGAGTTAGACACAAATTCGTATCTCAACCACCCATAACTATAATAATAAAAAATCAAGCCCTGAAAATCAATGAAATCACCAAAATCAATGATCCCTATCAAGATATATAAGTGGATAGTTTACCCTTTTTACTTCATTCTCAACTTTTTACTGATTTTATTTATTTTTATAAATTAATAAATCGACGATTCGAACTAGATGATAATATCATATTTGAGCGAGCCGTTGTTTGACCCATGAGTTTTAGGATGAGATGTTACCGTGAATATATAAAAAATTGTGAAGATATATAAGTGGGTGATTCGGAATGATGTTCATAAGTCTTCGTGGAAATGAAGAGACACACATCTAGTTCATACTATATTTAATTAAGACGATTCATTTCGAGATGTATGAGCATATAGTCCACCTTTTTTACTTCATTCTCAAATTTTTACTGACTCAATTTTTTTATAATTAATAAAATAAGTGAAGTTACAATCTCTCACCATAAGCAAAAAAATTATAACCAACAACAAAGCTTTTATATACACTATTTTATTTATATTTAGTTTTTATACTAACATAATGGATATTTAATTTGTATGTGTAAAATATTATCATATTATCATTTTCTTAAATTTTGTATCACCTACCTACAATTTATATTCATATATTGATAGTTTGTAGAACATTATTTTCTGTCAAGAAGTAAATGATCCAATGGATTGACCCGAGAGGCTAAAGTATAGACCACAGACCAGACCACAGACTATATGGTCCGGTCCAGACCACGCCTGTGCGGTCTGGTTCGGTCTGGTCTGGTCCAGATAGACCACACTCAACGAAAAATGAATAATTTGTTTAGTCAACCACACAAAAAATTGAACCAATAACCAAGAAAAATAATTGTTATTTGCCTTAAAACATTAATTCTAACATGCATGAATAATTTTGATACTCTAAATCTTAGTACATAACAAAGATACAAAGTAAAAACATCTCAGCTTGCACCATAACGTCATAAACATTAACATAATGTCATATGGAGACACTATTATCTCTACTCTCTGGTTAAATGTGGTTGTGAATGAAGGAGGGAAGAGATTCACAAAATTAAGGTTGAGACTTTGGTGTCGTTGTGGGAGTTTGGATAGTGGTCGAATGGGCTGTTAACACGTATTGACAAGTCAGTTGGGTCCATGGTTTGGTCCGGTAAACCGCGGTCTAGACCAGACCAGACCAAGAGATCAAATCATAAAATAAACCAGACCATGGACCAAACCATACTTCACGGTCTACGGTCCGGCCCAAACTGTGCGGTACGATTTGGACCACGGTTTTTCTAACGGTCTGGTCTATTTTCCCAGCCCTAATCTCTGGTCTGGAGCTTGCAGAAAGCCAACACAAGACTAGCATGGTGATGATTTGTCGGAGCACTCCGCAATTAAATGGTTGTCAAAAGAGGGGGGAAAAACTGATCGAAAGTTGATTTACAAATTTTTTATTGTGCGGGGTAACCTTTTCTAATAAATTAGCTATTCGAGTGATTAACATGTTAGACTTATTTGAAAAGTTACCACTTAACAGTTCACCTCAGACAAATTGTTGTTACAAAAATACAAAGCAAGAGAACCTGATTGTAATTTGTCACTTTGGATGGTGAGTAATTGTAATTCCAAGGTTTGATGAGAGTTGCACATTTCCATGTTTGCGTAACGTGACGTCAAAGAACTGCAACATGGTTCTATCAAAAACTACCGACCAAGATTAGAAGTCCCACTTCCATATGCGTTTCATTTACCATTCATCTGAGTTTGACCAATACAAAGGAGGTTTTTAAGGTTGCCTTGCCGCACTGTTCCTTTTCCTTTGGAAGAAGAAAGCAAACACTTGGTCGGTCGCTTATAAATATCTGCTATGACTTCTTTGGTACAACGGATTTGAAATGGGAAAATAGACAGAAAGTCAGCTCACTATCGAGCAAAAGAAGCACCTGCTGCAAGCCTGTTAACTCATAATAATAGTCAAGAGTAGTGGCTTGAGTAGGATGTTTGTGGGTTTTCCTATAAGATGAAAAGATTATTTGTGACCTTCCAAAAAAGAGCACAGCATAGCTTAATGATGCTTGGCCCTTTAGGAATTTTAGAGTTTGCATTTGACTTTTTATGAATTTTTTCAGTTCGTATTTGATTGTATTGTGTCAGTTGATTGGTAAGGGGCTGTGGTTGAGGTAATTGATCATCCATTTACATTTTATAACGACTAACATTGGATGGTTTGGTTCGTTTAAGCAAATAGATGTTTCTACACAAACAGGAATGAACATTTAGAAATCGTATAACCAAGCTAGAAGAGTACATATAAGAACATGGAAGCATACAATAGAGGCTATAACCAGTCATTTAGGAAATGTAGTCACAGTTTGAGAGGCCCCATTGATGTTGCGCATACTAGGAACTTATGAAGTATGAAATTAGGGAAGGAGATGACTAATCTTTTCCAAAGTTGTACCACCACAGAGATCTGCACTTTTTAATCGCCATAACAGAATTCCCAAACAGCCCAAATGTCACTGGAAGTATGTAGACAAAAATCTGTACACAAGTCTATCTCTATGGTTCAACTTTCAAGTTCTCTGCAATATGCACCATGCCCTCGCCAAGGCAGTAAACAAACACTGCACATGAATATTTACATTTGACATTCTACAATTTATGGTCTTCCCCTCGCTTTGCTTATTCTTGAGTCGATGTATCCAAAGAGGAATTAAACGTGTTTACAGTGGTTGAGTTGTGACTGAAACCATGACTGTGACTGTGCCCTTCCCCATCCCTCCGCAGGTCTCTCAATGCCTTGAACCTCAAGTCTTCTGCATAACTGCTCGGTTCTGGGACTGTGTCTGGAACTGGCGTTCTCCCTTCCAGCATGTTCACAACCTCGGACATCGTTGGTCTGAGTGTCGATGATGCATTTGTACACAACAGACCTACCTTGATCATAATCTCAGCTTCTTCCTGCTTTACTCTTGACCTCAATGTCTGGTCAATAATGGGTGACACATTCCCACTCTGCTGCAAATGGCAAGCCTGTACACAGATAAAAACAAAGTTAAAAGTCGAACTGAAAAGACGAATCAAACACACTTTTTCAGTCCAGCTTCTTCTCATTTTTGTTCATTTAGTGGTTACCCAATCTAAGAGGCAAACGCAATTGTTGCTTGGCATAAAATCATTGTTGTTCTTGCCACTAACGATCTCCAACGTCAGAACTCCAAAACTGTAAACATCTGCTTTGTAGGTGAGGTAGCCCCACAGTGCATATTCTGGTGCCATGTAGCCTCTGCATTAGCATGAAATTAGATCATAGCAGTGTGATGGTGATATCAGGAAACAGAAAGCCAAATGATATAGTCTGTGACTTGCATTGTTCCAGCCACACGGGTGCTGATGTGGCTTTTCTCTTCCTCGTCAAGCTTAGCCAATCCAAAATCTGATATCTTCGGATTTAAGTCCCCATCAAGAAGAACGTTGGTGGCCTTGATGTCTCTGTGAACGATCTTGAGTCTCGACTCTTCATGGAGAAAGGCCAGACCTTTAGCTATCCCGACACATATCTTAAACCTTGTAGGCCAGTCCAGCTTCAGGTCACAGTTTTCCCTGCCTAGAAAAAACATCAACCACCTTAGTCAGTCAACTTACTGGAGATCGTTCACTTTTCCTTTCAACAGACTATGAAATGACTCACCAAATAAAACCCGAGCGAGGCTATTGTTTTCCATGTATTCATACACCAGCAATAGTTGATCTCCTTCCACACTAAACCCATGCAAGCTGACGAGATTCGGGTGTTTCAGACAAGAAATCATTCCAATCTCGTTTAAGAATTCACGGTTTCCCTGTTTTGATTTCGATGAGAGTTGCTTAACTGCTATCATTGTACCATCAGGTAACACACCCTGAAATTTCAACTCACCAACTTAATGAGAAGGGAAAGTGTATATATTGTACCACTTAAGGAATTAGATGGATGATAGAGGAAACATTTGAAGGGAGGGAGAATACCTTGTATACAGGACCGAAACCACCTTCTCCAATCTTATTTTTGGGATTGAAGTCATCAGTGGCTGCTCTAATTTGTTTTAAGGAGAATGTTCCCTTGGGCAAATCAGCTCCATCAGTACCTGACCAAGGAAGAGAAGAGAGGGAGAAATGACGCCCAAAGCCGAAACTATCACAAGAAATAACTCACACCATCTGTTTAATTTTTTTCGTTTCTCTTTTTGTCTCAAGGAAAGGCAGCAGTCACCAATTCAATCTGATAGTGTTCACCTTTTCTTTTTGTGCATTTTCCAGGTATGTAGCCTCTGCACCAAAGAATGCCTAGAACAACAAATATAAGGCTTGATGCTCCAAGTACTCCAACAATAGCATAAATTGTTCCCTTGTTTCCTCTATCGCCAACGGGTTTGGAGCAGATTTTATCATCTGTGGTAACATAATAAAAACTCTGATATATTAAACAACACAGAAAAGCTAACTTTTTTACTATCACCAAGGAGTAGTCATATTTTAGAGGCGTCTGAACAAGAAAGGGGTTGACTAACCAGAAACTACAGAGATGGCGGAGATGATGGGACCATAAACTCCTCTAACTGGAACCCTTGTTGTTCCTTTGCCAGCAAAATTAAAACGAATCTCAAGGATATTGTTGGGTACATAGACATTCGGGATTGGCAGTACTAATGGCTTCTGAGCACCACCAGCCTTATCTTCAATATTGAAATCCTTCAACACTAGCTTTTCCTGAAAACAAGAACCCATTTTATTGTTCATCCACAAGTTCAAACTCTGCAACAGCTTCATTCACATTGGCCACTTATTTACCTGAACGTAGACGTCGAACATGCGTTTGCCAAGACTAGCATAAGTTCTGTCATTAGTGAATACGATCTCAGCAAAGTGTAGCCTCACCGTGTAGTTCCCATTTTCTAAACAGTAGTGGAAGTAAGTAAGAGAAATTGGGGCAATGCGGGCAGTCAAGTACAACTCGGGGAGGGATGATGATTGTACAGCTACGGTATAACGGGTGTTCTGGAAATCATTATCATCCAAAAAGTCCCCTGTACTACTAAAGCCCCAGTAGCTCTCCTCATTTAGGAAATATTTTGCTGTACCACCTACAATTTGTACATCTCCTTCATATAGTACAGTTGTTTTGTTTTCGGTAATGGTCAAGTCCTTTCCACCACTGTTAACATGCAAACAATTCGAGTCTGCAGAAAATCACATTGTTAGTAATTCATTCGATGAAACTAGATTGCCTAAGAAGAAGAAAGCTTAAATATTTACTTACATCGAGGACAAGTAAAGGTCTTCAAGCATGGGAGACTACTCCTACTGTTACACAGAACAAAATAATAAAATTGAGGTACTTAGGCTAGCACTTAGCAAACGTTCAAAGAAAGAGGGAAATCAATTAAGAGAAACCCATCTTACGTGCTATTTATGGCTGAAGAGCTCTGGTACAAGTTCATGTTAAGATTCCTGGACAATGTAATAGTGTAAATAGCTCCAACATTTGTAAGCTAAAGTAGATCTTTAAGTATAAAGGGATTGCAGATCCTTACATAGTATCCCGACAAGCAGGGTGGTCAGGTCCTTCCAACTCAAAGTTATTGTAAGACAAGTCACTGCATGCAAGCATTCAAACAAAAACATTTCATTAAGGATTGACATAAACCATGGTGGACAATGATACTGAGATAGCTTTAGAAGAGCAATAGAAATTTCTCAAGAAGAGCTTTCGAATCATTATGATTGATTTCCCAAACACACAAAAAAAAAAAAAAGGTGACAAACCGGAGGAACACCAAACACATTAAGTGGCTTCATCAGCATGAAAGATACATACATGTTGCTTCCTTGCTTCAAGATTGATTCAGGAACATCTCCACTTAGCAAGTTGCCAGTTAAGAAACTAACAAAAGGAACATAAAAAAATATTAGCAGCTACATCAACAATAAAACAAAGAACCAAATGAAAAGACATGAAAACTTGAACACTCCCCATAACAATCTCGGTTGGGAAAAGTTGCAGAGGAATGCAAGAAAGAAATAAGCTATTTTTTAAAACTTACACAAATCTCAAACGATCCGCAGTAATGGTTGCCGGAATTTTTCCTGTCAACTTGTTGAAACTGACATCCCTGAGAACCAAATGAATATCATGTCATGATACAGTAACAATTAGCACATGCGCAGAGGTAACTAGTCATCATATTGATATAAAACCATCTGGGGTAACTTACAACATCTCCATGTTCTGCATCGACCAGACAAAGTCAGGGAGCTCCCCAGATAAGTTGCAGTTCCTCAAAACCCTAAAAAGACATAAACATACTGGATTGTTATAATCAAATCACTACCATGTTAAATTAAACAAAGTATGCAATGTTCTGATAATTCTACATACAATCTTACTATGCCTGTCGCATTGGTCGCCCTGGGGAAGCCCTGACTGGGTCCAGCTACATCACTGATTCTCCTGTATTAGTGCGCGTGCTTCAGTAAGCAGAAGGTAAAGAAAGAACGAGAGAAAGATAATTGATTCCAATCAAACCGGGCATGCCGTCAGTAGCCTTTACACTTACAGCTCGGATAGATTAGCCAACTCTGAAATGCTTGGTGGAATGGGTCCCTCTAGCCCACTTGCATGCATCTCTCTTTAATGATCCAGAATTTCAAATAAGAATCAAGACCATGGATAAGGCACCTCAGAGGACGAATGAATAGAGACAGGAATCTTACAGTCTGGTGAGTTTGGTCCAATTCCGTATGAAATTAGGAATGGCTCCACTGAAGCTATTATCATTTATCCTGCTGCACTAGACAAAAAAAGGTTTATGGTTCACACAAATAATGATATATCTGCTCACTGAAATGGATGGCATTGTCAAAACTTACAAATCAGTTAAATTTGTCATCCTTGCAAACGAGATTGGCAATGGTCCAGTAAACTTATTGGAAGACAGCATTCTGAAAATTCAATGTGAAGAGGAAAATTATATCAGCATGCCACCATAAATACGCTTCCTTCTTAGGGCTCGTGATTATGAAAAATTGAGATGGCATACAGTGTTTCCAAGTTGACCAGTTTCCCAAGCTCTGCAGTGATACCACCAGAGAATTGGTTTGCATCAAGACACCTACACAAAGTATTAGACTTTCCAAGCCAGGAAATAGGGAATGGAATGCATATAGAAACAGTGAACATTCAAGGCAGCATTTTTTTGCAAGAGAAATGTGAGACATACAAGTATGTGAGAGTAGTAATATTTGCCAACTCCTTTGGAATCTCCCCTGAAAGTCGGTTTACAAGAATAGAACTGCACGTAACAACCAAATGATCAATTTCAGATTATTTAGACCTTGCAAACATCCAATTTGGGGGGTGGGGGACTCACATTGAAGTCAATCGCGTTGATGCCCATTCTTTTGGGATAGAGCCGTTGAGGTAGTTGTAAGCAAAATCACTACAGTTGACACGAAAATAAAAAAATCTCATCTGAAACTCCTACATAATAGCTGGTAGACCGGTTACAAAAGGTTCTCAAAGGTCTTACATTTCTTGGAGGTAAGGAAGCTTCACCAGCTGAGGTGGAAGAGTTCCAGGAAGATTGTGATTCTTAAGAACCCTGCGAATTCAAGGAGTTCAGATTATGGTTTTTGCTCCAGTGCATTAGTAAATCATATCCTGTGAAGATATCAGATGAAAATGCAAAGAAAACCCTTTTAGTTGTGAGATAAGGATTATATTATACATCCTCACGACGTGACAATCCGTATTGCTGCCATTGTTGCAAGTACATTCAATATTGTGCTCTGCGTTCCTTGGTGGGACTTGGGTCATCCCAAATGCTTCCACTTTGCAGGTATCGGCATCAAACTGCCAATACGTTGAGCCCATTGCTCTTACAATTTCTCCAAGGGCATCAACTGCAAGCAAAGCATCAAACACGTTACAAAGGCCTAGAAATGCCATCAAGTAGTCAACTTTGACTTGCTACAGCTGGTGAGGAACCATTTTCTGACCTTCCTCCTTGATTTGACAAGAACATTTGCATGCCTAACAAAATCTATTAAAGGCTTCTAGCATGTGATGATGTGAAGGATAATACCCTTTGGATGCTTATTTCACTGACTGCTTCCTTGTTCTTAACCTAGTTCTGCACTCGACCAACCCGGTCTTAACTGTATTGTCCTAAATCTTGCAACCAGACTCCCTCAGGGTTTAGCCTAAGCAAAACCTAAGACCCAAGATTCATAAATTTTGAGACTTTGATTTCCGGCGGTTGGCTACTGAAACCCAGATACCCAGTAGAGGAATAATTGAAGAAATCCTCTTAAAAAGCAGGATTGATAGAGAGAAGGTGAAGCCAGCTGCAAATCAATCCAACAAATTTACCTTCTTCTTGTACAAGCTTTGCTTGGGCAAAGCGGAGCAGCCATAAGCAAGTAGAGGCAGTAAGCAGGAAAGCAAAGAGCTTTCCACCAAACATGACGACGCCGACGGAGTGAAAGGAGAATGAGCAGAAGGGGACTCTCAATTTGGCCTTTTCCCAGTGGAGTTAGTAATATTGGGAATATTTCTTCATTTCAGAGGAGGAGGACAAAAGCTCTGCTCAATCTCAGTTTACTCAATCCAATTCCCCTCCTATTAAACCATTTTTAACTTTTTGCTTGATTTTGAAGAAGAGCCAACCAACCAACCAAGTTGTTCCAAACAAACAAACAGGGGAGAAGGAGGACTGAGAAGAAAGAGGATGTCGACGGACGCTGCATTGCCAGCTCGAGTTGACAAATCCAAACCCAAAACCAAACTTTATTATTAAACAAATACACTGTTCTTTAACTTCTTTTTCACATTTTTTTTTCTCCTTTTCTATTTAATGATGATTATAATATTAATGATATAATAATAAAATTAAAACCTCTTCAAGAGAACAGTAATCATAGCGCGCATTATGTATTATAGGTTTGGGTGATCTATGGATGGCAATTATGCAAGTGGTTTTGGTACAGAGTTGCAGAGAGGTTTTGGATAGATAGTTTATAATTAGTCCCTCTGATCTAGTTGTCTAGATTCTACACAGGACCACCACTTCCCTCCACTCCACTCGAGTGCAAAATCCCCACTGCGTGACGAAACCATTCAACAGTTTTAGAGCCTGTTTTTTTTAGTTTTCCTTAAAAAGTGGTAAAAGTACTTGAAAAGGTAGGTTGATCGAAGGAAGGGAGGCTGTCGTAGGCTCGTAGCTGTCTTGTCTTTCGTATTTGCAATTTCTTTTCCGGTCTGTTTCTTTCTTTTCCCGGGAATATGGTTTTTCTTTTTCCTTCGTTCTCTTTTTTCCGGCGACGAAAAAAGAAATAGATATATGATGTAGCTAGAGGTACTATTCTAAGTAGGGGTGGGCATTCGGTCGGTTCGGTTTCGACCGAACCGAAATTATGAATACCGGGTCCCCGAATTCTCCCAAACTTCAAACCGAATTCGAACCGAATTATAATTCGGTTCGGTCGGTTTAAACCGAATTATAATTCGGTTCGGTTCGGTTTTTCACACAAAACCGAATTTGTTAAACTACTTGTATCTTCTCACTTTTAAATTATTTTTACCCCTAATATAAACAATAAATATGTAATTATATGCATCATCAATGATAAAATCAAACTTTTCAACACATAAGTCATAAAATATTTCAAATATTTAAGTCTAAAAACAACTACAAACATAAAAATCCATCATTTGAACTTGTAATTATAGTATTTCGGTTTTTCGGTCGGAACTTTGGAAATTCGGTTCGGTTGAGAGAACCATGGTTTCCGAACTATCCATATTTTCCTTCCGAATTCCGAACCAAATAGCATTAATTCGGTTTCGGTTCGGTTTAATTCAGTTTCGGTTCGGTTCGGTTCGGTTTTACCGAACCGGTTGCCCACCCCTAATTCTAAGTTAGGTGGATCGAGATGTTTCCTTTTTTCTGATAAAAATTGCGAAAGAATGTTAAGAGAAGTGATCATCATGCATTTAAGTTGGTTCTAAGTTTTGTTTAGTTGGGGGAGACCTCGGTGGTGTGCTTGTGGGATGGGGCTACACGATCAGGTTCACATTCTGCGGGCGGAGTGGTACTTCTTGATACCCATAGGAGGGTCTTCCGGGCGTTTGGGGTCCAGTATCCGGTCATTGATGATCCTTTGGTGGTGGAGGCGCTTGTCCTCCGGGAAGCGATCGTTTGGTGTATGGCTAGTGGGCTCCAGGAGGTGCGTTTTGAAGGCGATGCCAAGGTCATCATTGAGAAAATCAATCGAGCTGAGACTAGCGATAGTAGGATTGGGGTGATCTTGGACGAAATCAAGCTGTATTTGGGGAATCATATGGGGTTTAGTTTGCGGTTTGTAGGACGGAGGAACAATAGGGTAGCCCATGCGGTGGCTAGAAAGGCTCTTGCTTTGTATCTGTCTACGTGTCGCTCTTTTAATTTTCAGACCTGGTTGTGCTCCAGGATGTAATCGTGTCTATCTTCTATCAATATATGATTATCTTTTGTCAAAAAAAAAAAAGTTTTGTTTAGTTTGTCTACAATTAAGTTGGTTCAAGTTGGATTGGTTTGTATTATTAAACTGAAAGTGTTTAATTTCTTTTTTTTAATGAATAAGCAGCTTTATTCATCAAGAAAGAGGGATTTTTATGACAAATCCCCCTAACTGGAATCCAAGTACCTCATTTACAGAAGAATGACAAAAAGAAAGCTTAACAGAACAAGCTAACAAAGAGTAAAACCCAGGCTACCAAAAGACCTACACTATACTACACTATACTGTTGACATAATCCTCCGAAATGGCAAGCTCCACTTGAGAAAAACCATTCCTAAGCAGTCGCAGCAACCCTTGCAGCTTCTTCAAAATCTGGTTTTCCGACAGTACCTCACCAGACATAACTCTTCTGCATCGTTCCCTCCAAAGCTCAGCCACCACCATCACCCACAGAAGCCTGCCACGATCAGATGTGGTGCAATTTAACCGGAAGAGTGATATGGAGATTGCCAAAGACCCCTCCCAATTTGCCCCCACCACATTCCTTCCTGCAAAAACAGCCTGCAACACATGTTGAGAGTAGGAACACTCAAAGAAGAGATGATCCCTTGACTCTGCCATAGAGGAGCATAACGGGCAGAGATTAATCACTGAATTGTTCCATCTATGTACCTTGTCTAGAGTAGATATTCTATTCAAGATGATTAACCAGACAAGTAGCTTGTCTCGAGGGGTCCCAAAAGACTTCCAAAGCAAAGAGAACCACTGAACTTCCTCGTGCTTACCACGAAGAGTCTCCCAAACCTTTTCCATCACACAGTCACCCCAATACACTCCTGCAGATCTGACTATAAGATACGGAGCCACTTTAGTCCTAAGTTTCAGGACCTTCCTCCAGGCCCATGAACAGGGTATGGAGGTAGGTATATCCCAAATGGAGGTATAGGTGAGTTGGTAATGCCGTACCCAGCTCTCCCATAGGGAAGAAGAGTTTGAGGATATGGCCCAAAGATGCCTTACTAGGCATGCCATGTTCCAGCTCTTAAGGTCTTTAAAACCTAATCCCCCTTCTTTCTTAGGTCTTGCTACCATCTGCCAGTGAACTTTAGCCCTTTTCCCCTCTTCCTCTGCACTCCATAAGAAGTCAGAGCAAGCTTTCTCAATCAACTTAATCACCTTGACTGGGAGTTGAATGATCCCATCCAATATTGAGTAATGCTGGAAATGACAGCAGAGATGAGCTGCATTTTACCAGCATAAGACAAGGTTTTCACCTTCCAGCCCCTGATTCTTGCAGTTATTTTTTCAACCAAAGCATGACAGTCAGCATTATTCAGTTTCCCAGCAATGAGATGAATCCCCAGATATCTCACAGGAAGATGCCCTATGGCAAACCCAGTACTAGATGAAATTTGAGCCTGAACCCTAGGTTCCACTCCTCCACAGAACACTTCACTCTTGGCAGGATTACATCTCAACCCAGATACAACATAGAAGGCATCCAAAATAGATTTTGCTTTCCCTACAGCCTCTGGAGTCCCCTTTGTGAAGACCAGAAGGTCATCAGCAAAGCACAGGTGGGAAAGCCCTATTCTGTGGGTTTGAGGGTGGGGATGAAGAGACTTAATAGCATATGCCCTATTGAACATACAAGAGAGGAGTTCCATGGCAATTGTAAAGAGATAAGGGGAGAGGGGATCCCCTTGTCTCAGCCCCTTTTGAGCAGAAAAGTAACCAAAAAGTCCCCCATTAAAACAAACACTGAGCTTTGTACTGTGAATGCAAACCTCAATCCATTTTATGAACTAATTAGGGATTTTCATAGCTTCCATTACTGTTTTTAAGTAACACCAGTCAACACTATCGAATGCCTTCATCACATCAACTTTTAGGGCACATCTGGGAGATATAGTTTTCCTATTGTATAACCTCACCATCTCATGGGCCAGTAGAACATTATCACTAATTAATCTCCCCTTAATAAAAGCAGATTGGTTCTGACTAATGATAACAGGGAGCACTTCCTTCAATCTATTTGCAAGAACCTTAGCAATACACTTATACTGTATATTGCAACATGAAATTGGCCTCAATTGTTTCATACAGTCAGCATTTTGAACTTTAGGAATTAGAGCCAGGTAGGTAGAATTTACCTCTGAAAGAAGCTTCCCTGTCCTGAAGAAATCCAAGACTGCATCAGTGAGATCCTTACCCAAGATCTCCCAGTTATGTTGGAAAAATCCAGCTGTGAAGCCATCTGGATCAGGAGACTTATCTCCATTCATAGAAAATAGAGCTGTTTTCACTTCTTCTCTGGAAACTGGACAGCAAAGAGGATCAGCTTGCTCAGGAGTGAGAAAGTTGACCAAAAGTTGGGAGATAAGCTCACTGCTCACTCTCTGAACATCTGGATTCTTGGTGCCCAGCAGATTCTGGTAAAATCTAACTACTTCCTCACTCATCTCCTTAGCATCAGTTAGAGCAGTCCCTTCTTCTGAAATAAGTTTTTTGATGGTTGAGCGAGCTTGACGAGCTTTAACATAGTTATGGAAGAAGGAGGTGTTTAAATCCCCTGTTTTCACCCAAAGCTGTCGAGACTTTTGTCTATATATAGCCTCCTCCTATTTAAGAAGACCAAATAACCGAGACTGCCATTCATTGACCTTTTGAAAAGTCTCAGGGGAAGGTTGCTGGAGAGCCTCTATCTGCAACCCTTCCACTTCACAACGAGCAAGTGGAACCCTTTCTGAAATGTCTGAATAGGATGATCTATTCAACTTTTTCAACTGCCTCTTAACCTCTTTCAACTTCTGACAAACTATGAACATAGGAGCTCCCCCCCCCCTTGAACTGCTTGCTCCAGGCTTCTTTGACAATCTCATTATATCTAGGATGAGTTTCCCAGCAGTTAAAATACTTGAAAGGCTTAGGTAGAGAAGTTATCTGGATATCAGTATTCATTAGCAACCCACAATGATCTGAAAGCCTTGGGGGGAGAAGGGTAACTGCATAATTTGGGAACACAGATAACCAACTAGAATTCACAAGGACCCTATCTATCCTTCTAGCAATAGGATTCCCCTCCTGTCTATTGGTCCAAGAGAACCAAGGACCTTCAAAAGCACTTTCCTCCAATTCCATGCGGACTATCCAGTCATCAAAATCTACCATACTTT